GAGCACATGATATTTGATGGTATGGAGGAGACCAAACTGTTAATATAGCTTTTGATTAAAGATTTATTTTTTAAAGTTGTTTTCACCAACATTGATGTCTCCTATACCTTCATTTGTTTCTTACTGCTCATTCTAAGGATGCTGGTGCTAAAATGGCACCTAAGACTGCTGTGTGGACCTATACAAGAAAAAGGTTTCAAATAACATTTCAGTAACAATGGTAATTTTTGTAGACTAAGCAAACCCCCACATGCCAACAGCACTCTCAGACAGAACAGGCCTCTGTCAGCATGAAAGTACACTCTGCCACATGCTGAAAACTCCACTGGAATGGCTCAAGGAAAACAACAAGGAGCCCAAGGTGTTGACCCAGCCTTCAAAATCTCACTCTTACTGAGCATCCCCAAATGCACCAGAAGAAGCATGATCCACAGAGGCCACCGCCCACCGCCCACAAGGACTGAACAGTACAAGGCAGGGGGTTTTAATGTTGTGGCTGATTGCTTTGAGTTTGACACTCCCTGCTTGACTAATTACTTTATGTAAAGTTCCTTGAGATGACGTACAATATGTTATGATTTGGTGCTATATAAATAAGGGTAAATTGAATTGACTTAATTACATTTTTTGTTTTACCAAATACTGTAAATCTTACTTGAACACAGCCATAGTCCTGTGTGCTATTGAGAACTGAGATTCACCTCATTTTTGAGGCCATATTTTGCTGTGATGTGGCAGAATTGCATTACATAGTTTTTCCTAGTCTTCTCCACAAAATAATCTTTTTCTCTCACTCTCTCTCACTTTTTTTTACATTTATTTTTATTCCAGGTCATTTGGCCATTCACACAAGGACACACACAGTCTTGTTTCCCACCTGACACTGACTTACAGTCATTTTCCAAACCCTAACCCCAACCCAAACCAAGCCATCATACTAAAAGTTAATGTTCTACCTTGTGGGGACTTGCTGTTTGTCTTCAAAATGGAGGCAGGTCTTTACAGTTTGACTGTGTGCACAGATTTATGTCCTCATAACTCGAGCAATACACACAGTCCTCCTCCTCTGTCTGCTGCTTGTCAGTCAGACTCTGTAATATCTGTCTCCTCGACTTCAGCCGAGGGGCAGGGGGAGCATGTCTACTTGTGGAAGCATCTCAGTAGACATATTGACTGAGCTGTGTATTGATTTGCACTTTACCATTAACTTCCAAACATAATGTCTATAATAAAAAAAATTGCTGGAAAATGTGGTGAATTTGCTCAAACAAATAAGGCATTTATAAAGGCTACATATTTCCTTCCTAGTTTTATGTTTTGCCACCAAAACAAACACATTCAGGAAGTTCAATTTACCTGATAACAGATCTGGTCGGATTGTATAAAAACTTAAGCAGCAGTTGTGTTGTTTTTGTAGTGACCTCTGTCCACAGTGAGCAGCATCAAAATGACTTGCATATGGTGAGAACTTGTAGTTGCACCTTGATCGACGTGTACATGGACAGCTGCAGACACCAACAGGACTCCACTACATAAAATGCTGTAGGCCTTATCTACATATTCATTACATATAGTGCAAACACACATTTTAGGCTGCATGTCAAGGGGTCTCACAGACTTGGGGAGATGATTAAATTTGTCTCACATGATCCTTGTTTACTCTTGTGTACTAAGAGTGACAGCACATTAAGGAGAAGAATCAGGTTTATAGTTTGTTTACTTGTGGTTTTTTGACTCCAACCTTACTTGAGTTGTGGCTAATATATCTGTTTACCCCTGACTCTCTCACACAGAGGCTTCCATCCTCTCCTATGACGGCAGCATGTACATGAAGGTGGTGATGCCGACCATCATGCACACTGAGGCGGAGGACGTCTCCCTGCGTTTTCGCTCCCAGCGGGCTTATGGCCTCCTCATGGCCACCACGTCCAGAGACTCAGCTGACACTCTCCGGCTGGAGCTGGATGGGGGTCGCGTCAAACTCACGGTCAACCTAGGTATCGTATACCTCACCCAGCCATCTGCCTCTACACCTCCACCTTCACCATGAGATGGTTTACCGTTGAGCGGTAACTTCTCCACTCCTCTCCACTTACTTTGTCTATCTTTATGTGCACAGTCTTTTCATCAGTTACTCATCGCTACGATCCCTTAACGGTTTCTCACAGCTTTAGAACATAGATAACAGAGTTTGTATCTTTTTTTGCATGAGTATTAATTCAGTTTGTACACACAGATAACAATAGACAGTTTACTGAATATACCTAGTAACATCTTAGGATATCTTAAGTTACTTTACTTCAGCGGTACCTATCTGGCCCATCTTTGAACCAGAAAACCATAGTAACATCCATATCTTTGTTTACAGAACTTTTGAGATAGTCCCAGCACCGTAACCAGAATGCACATTATGATGTCCAGATACTTGGTGTAGTCTAAGAAAGTATTTTCAAAGAACGGTGTGCTGAGACTTTCTAAGAGATGACTCCCACTAAGAATGCCCACTGATCTTTAATCCATTATTCAGCTGAATATTAGCAGAAGCTTTTCTTGTATTTCTCACTAACCTCATTTTTGTGTCTGACATCGAGCAATTTCTCCGTCACTTTCCTATCGTTCTGGGTGTTTTTCATTTTCTTTGCTAATGATGGTATCTTTTATGGAAATCTGTGCTTTTTCAGAGTCTTGTTTTTTTTTTTTCTTTCTTTCTTTTTTTTGTTTACCTGTCAACTCCATTTTCCATCAAGCTTTGTCAAAAGATGGTATTCACCCCTTCAAAGGCCTTAAGCCTGCGGCCCGTCAGGTGAACAGCCCGAGAACAGAGCCCAGCAAAACCAACAGCTGGCTGTGACCCCAAATACTCATAAACACTTTCAATCACAATGTGCAAATTATATCACAGTGAAACATGAGCCATAAACCTCAATTTATAGCTTGCATTTACAGTATGTCCAGCAATAAAACGTAAGGGTAACAGTGGTATTAGCTGGTATTAACTGTTTTTTAAAGTCACATTTAAACACACATTTCACTAATTATATTATTATTCATGTAAGACATGCCCTAGATTTAGTCAAAGTATTCACACCTCTAATTGGTCAAAGCTCATATAAATTCTCCACCTCTTTTGATCTGTGTAATTTCCTACAATGCATTTTCAAAAGTGTAAATATTCATAGCTCTAGCTTCTGCTCCAGCCTAGTGATGCCTGTAGCAGTAGGGTAGTGCTCCAGATTTGATGGTTGGGGTTCCTGTGCCTCTGCATGGTGCTGGTGCTGATTGGATCGTGGCTGTTTGCTCCCACTTTTCTGTTGCGGTTGACGACACATGAAACCACCAGCCACATGGTGACCAACCCTCACTGTCTTCACAGCTGCAAACTGCAGTTATTCTGGCCTCAGTTCAGATCCTTCCGATTCTCTGTCTCTATCACAATACTTTGCAGTTTGAATTGCAAAAGCAATTGTTTCTCTAAAATGGATGACTGCACCCACCTTACTGGTGCAGAAGCTTTGGAGTCAGAGATAATGACTTTTATAAAAAAGAAAAAAATACAAACACGTCAATGTAAATTGAGTTATTCAGTGCAGGGTTGGAAAATCTATGTAGCCGGTACTACAAGTGGCCATTTTACTATAAATACAGTGTCTAAACAATCAATAAATACAAACTCTGGTAAGTAATAAAACAGCACAAATCCATGCATTGTTTAATTAAGTAATAAATAACTCAATGTTTCATTAATTTCATAATTATTTGACCTAAAGTTAAGTGTCAATAACAATGGAATAAAATGGCTGCCTTTCTGCATGTGTGCGTCCCCGGAAGGGTGGACTTTTTGTTTTTGGATGTCTGCAGCAGTAACCTTGAAGGATGCAATTTCATCTGTCATTTATTCTTCCCCATCTAGACTGTATCAGGATAAACTGTAACTCCAGTAAGTTAACACTCAAGTTTCATTTTGCTTTCTATGTTGATGGTATGTTGATGTTGTTTTTTTGTTTTTTGTTCTTTTTGGAAAAAGGAAATGTTTGTTTTTTTTCTTAAATGTAAGTCCTGCACCACACTCCAACCTTTCTTAAGCTTATGATGTGGAGGAAGACATCGATCGGTTGGTTTGAGCTATAATTCTACAGAAAGCAACAGAAATAGACTGTAATAGACTATTGTGATATATGCACACACACACACACATATATTTATATATATAGATTTGCATATAAAGATACATATCTATACATGCAAATCTATGTATGTGTGTAGAATATAACATAATATGCATTTGCATTTAAAATAATGTATACAGCTTGTTTTAGACCTTGCAATGACAAAATTAGCATATATAATCTGGTATCATAATTGATGGCATAACGTGACTTTAATATAAGAGAGTAAGGTTTAGTTGTAGCAAAGAGGAACTAAGGTTTATTATCTAATATTTGAAACTACTCCAAGTCAGAAATCTGATTCTATAAAGCCTTCAGTCTCAGTCACAAAGACACTTTGAATGTTTAGTGCTGTAGATGAAGTTGTTTGACACTACCTACTTGGACAACATTCATTATTCTTAGTTATAAAGAGTGAATAACCGGTATGACTGACTGTTACATTCTATTATAACACACCAATAAATATAGGTAATTAGAGCTCGTCCTGATTTCATGCTTCAAGACCGACTTTCTATTCGGCCAAAACATCAACAGAGTAACGCTATGGATCAGTATTGGTTTAGAAGGCTGCTTGTTTTAGGAGAAAGGTATGAACATGGCTGAGAGTGTTAAAACCTTCCATGACAGCAGTATACGTAGAGTCCAGTCCACACAACTGAAACTCACCGTCACCCCAAACAGATGGAACAACAGCATCACTGATTTGATGCCAACAGAAGGATTTGATTACTTATAAGTTAGTTCTGAATTTAATTAAATGATAGGACAGTTACACATTGTTTCACGTCCCATAAAGACTCAAACTGTACCATCACAGAATCCTGTCTGGACAGTTAAATAGGAGTTAATATGTTTATACTGAATATGAATGCGACAGAGCTAACAACACCTGGATTCAAACTATGTCCACAGGGACAAAAGAAACTAGATTATTAACCTTTGACACACAGCACATTATGTGTTCAAACCCACAGAACTTGTTTTGATTTGATGTGAGGATCCAAAAGTTTCCAGCTTATAAAATGAGCCATTAGACAACTTCACTGACTTCACTGATTGTTAAGTAAAATGTCTGCTAACTGAAAAATAATTGATCATTCATGGCTTGTGTACATTCCTAGAGATCCAAAATTGGACTTAAAAATTTGGAATGACATGATAATTCTGTATTGTTGTGAGAATTCAAAACCAAAGGTGTGAGGTTATCAGGTTAGCTCTGGTGAATCAGTGAGCTCTCTTTGCCTCTAGCGTGTCTGCTGCTGTCCCGAATCAGTATGAATTGCTTTTACTTATAAGGAGGCCGTGGGCATCTTTGCCTCATCTGTTAATTTAAAATATTACATCTGTGCATAATGACAGGGGTACAGTTGCAGTCAAAATCATACAACCTTGTGAAGACATTGTGATGATTCGGATGAAGTTTAGTGAAAACGTATGAACGTAAAGCTTTTGAAAAAGGAATATAAACCAATTTGTTCAACCTCCAGTGTCATTATTTAAAGACTTAATCCAGTATAATCTAGTTTTTCACATTGTTGACACATGTTTGAAAACAAACCATGACTGACAGTCAGTGCAGTTGTACTTGAAACTGCAGTGTTTCCAAAACCCCTGATTCAGACTTCTGGAATTCCATATATTCACAAACTAAGGAACCATTCCCCCACCAAGGTTTCAGATTTCCCCCAACTTGCAGGCTGAGGCTCTCTGTATCATTCTTCTTCTTCAGATTTGGTTTCTAGATTGAATATGTAGGTCTGAGTTGCTCCAATGTTTCACCATTGGAGAGGTGGAGACTTCAGAGATGGTGTAGAGTTATCAAAGTTATTGTAAAGCATAAAGGGAATATTTTCACGTGGAAAAAAGACACGTAAACATGTAGAAGAGTTTAAATATTGGCCAGGTTTGAGCTTTAATAATACAAATCTTTTATGACATCCAATTAATTGTTACAGGGTTCTCTCATAAACTTGAATTTCCACCTGATTTTTGAGCTGCCACTGCTGTCTTTAAATCCAACCAACAATTGATACGTTTCCAGACTCCATGATACCAGTCATGTGGTCACATTTATCAGCTCCTGCAGCCAAACATCTCACAGCAGGTGTTTGGCGGGGAGATTTTCTCACCTGTTTAAAATGTCAAATTCTCCTTTTTATGTTTTCCCCCCCAACTCAGAAAAGGTTGCTGCTTTACCATGACTTTTAAACATGTGATGCTTCCGACCATTTCTTTGAAATCTTTTCCCGTTTTGTTGTGATGAAAAAAGCGATATCACAATCGAAGCAGATTCGGTGTTGTTGAAAGATTCCCCAAAGCAAATCCCAAAGATTACATCACACATTTCTGCTATTTAAAATAGATTATGCCCTTCAACTCATACAAATGTAATAATCAGAGTAAATTTAATGTACTACTTTACTAACTCAGCAGGGTTCAAACATTTTGAATGCAACTGTATCTGTCCAACAAGGCAACGACTACAGTAACAAAATGACATTTCCATAGCTTAAGCATGTGTTTAATAAATAGATGCACTCCCATGTGTGCAGACATGGCATTACCACAAATATTGTTGTAGTTTCTTCAGGCATTCAAACTGAAATTGGTAATAATAAATCTAAGAGACAAGAATTGTCCTGGGTCCCCAAAAGAACCTTGTTTGGGCTTTTATGCCCATAGCTCTGATGTAGTTCTGGGCTCATTCTGAGAATGGCTGCTTTATTCCAAACAGTTTGAGTAGATAAATATGTAGTAAGTGTTTTCGCTGAACATTAATTATTGCTTTTCTCTACATATTAGTTAAAATATATTTTGTTCCATGATGTCTGTGTCATGTCTTCAGTTATTTAATCAAGCAAAAGGAAAGTATTAATACACACAGTTGGGGCCAACAAATATTTTTAGCAACACCCAGATTAGATTCTGTAGTAAGTTCATTAATAAGTAAGTACATTATAGGTGAGACTGCCACACTGCCATGTTATAGGCTCTGTTTTAATGTCATTAGTAGTTATGACCGACAGTGGGACTCAGATACAAGAGACTTCTGTTGCGTCTTGTCTTCTTGGTTTCTTTTGAACACAATTGCTTCTAAATTTTAAACATGTAGGTTTTGTGATTAAACCCAACAAAACCTCTCCAGATAACCTCTCCACAACAGTCAGATGCCTCCCGCCAATAGAAGCATCTGATCTGAGAACACTTAGAAAACAACAGACAACTTTTCACCTGGCTCTCATGCAGTTTAAAAAGTACATGGATCTTGATGAATCAATAGCTGTTTTGGATCACCCTATAGTTGATTAGTTTAGTTTAGTTAGTGTCTCATGTTGGTTCCTTAAGAATCCTTGGTGACCTCGCATACATTGTGTCCAACAGAGGCTAAATGTCTTGCATTTCCGCAAACCTCTCCTCAAATAAAATAACATAGAAGTCGTTAACACATAAAATACACACACACATATATATATATATGCATAGAATTTGATTTAATCTTATATTGGACTGGTGTTTAAAGCTTATTGGTGATGCCTTTGACTTGCATTTAATGGCCACAAAAAGTAATGAAGAGGGAAGTAAAAGGAGCAGAAAAACAGGAAGCAGTGAAAAGAAAAGATTTCTGTAAGCCTACGATGAGTAAAAGCAATTTCTTTTTTACTGTAGTTGCCCTTTCTCTGTTCAAACTACATAGAGCCATGACCCTGTTCAGCAGCATAGCAGATGTCAAGTATTTTGTTTACTTTCACTGTGCAATTTACTGACTAAACCAAACCTTTGTTTCCCAAAGGAATAAGACTTGTTTTAAAATCCATTTTTTTAAAGTAGTTAACAAGCTACTAAGCAGCTTGTAGAACTCCTGTCAGTGTTTTAAGACAGCCTGGTGGGAAAACAAAGGTTTGGTTTTAGACTCAGGATGTCCTTAACTTTGTGACTGACCATTGTTCTCAGGCAAGGGACCGGAGACCCTGTATGCCGGGCAAAAGCTCAATGATAATGAATGGCATACAGTGCGTGTGGTGCGTCGCGGCAAAACCTACAAGCTAACGGTTGACGATGATGTAGCAGAAGGTACTTACCTGCACAACTGGAAATGTGTTGCTTTGTCAGTGTTATTGCACCACGCTGTGGTGTGTTACCATAGACAGCTGATAGCATCAGTGTGTAATTGTACTACAAAGACAGTATGTAGATATCTGGCCATTAGTGACAGTTTGCATTCATCTAATACTGTTAATGTAATTTTCTCCTTAAATCAGCCCTTTTGTGTTAGTGTCAGACAGTGTTCTCTTTTCTTTTCGTTTTTTGTCTTTCTTTTCAACCCATCCCCTCCACCCTCCCCATCTCCAGGCCAAATGGTGGGCGATCACACTCGTCTGGAGTTCCACAACATCGAAACAGGCATCATGACAGAGCGCCGATTTGTTTCCAGCATCCCGTCCAGCTTCATTGGACATCTGCAGAGCCTTAGGTACTCAAAACACTTTAATTTTTGAATGGACACATCCTTAAAAAAAGTCTCAATCGTCACTTATTTCTTCTGTGCAATTAATCAAATTTTATTTACCCACATTTTGGAGTTTTAGAGAATGTATTTTTCTCTTGTATGTAAATATTATAGTTTTACAGCATTCAGTGTACAAAACATAAATGTAATGAATAACTGGTGAAGGTCCGGGGACACTGAGTAGCTAAAGAACCTGTAGACAGGAGCAGGTGGAGGCCAAACCCAGAGTGTAGTGGACTAAACCAATCAAATAGCAAAGAATTCGCTGTTAGTTTTCTATTAACTTGTTGTTGTCATTAAACAATGTGTTTGCAAGACCTTCTTTTTTGAAGACCGTCAGCTCAAGTACCTTTTCTTTCTCATTCCTCAGATTTAACGGCATGCTCTACATTGACCTGTGCAAGAACGGTGATATCGATTATTGTGAGCTCAACGCTCGCTTTGGGGTTCGTTCCATTATTGCTGACCCTGTCACCTTTAAATCCAAGAGCAGCTATCTGAGCCTGGCCACTCTACAGGCCTACACGTCCATGCACCTCTTCTTCCAATTCAAGACCACCTCACCAGACGGCTTCATACTCTTCAACTCTGGAGATGGCAACGATTTTATCGCCGTAGAACTAGTTAAAGGGTACGTTTGGGAAAGGATTCTTGTTATTGTTTTGCACATTGAAACATTGAAGGTTTAATAGGATTATTATTATTGATCATTATATGATTGTTATTCTGATAACATTAATTGTTTCCCAACATCAGTGGCCACCATCTATATTTTTATAATGACAATTGAATATTCAGAAGACAATGTGCAAACTGTGTGATAAAGTGCTTGAATCTGCAGCTTCTCCCAGCTTTACTGACCTTTACAATTAGTTCTACCTCATTGTGAGGCTGACAGCAACTGTGCTGATTTAGTCTAAGTGAACAATGTCTAAGAACTCTTTGTTTATTACCTGCTTACCATCAAATGACATGCAGACAATTAGCAAGCTAAAAAAAAGCTAAAGGCAGAGTGAATACTGAACTTACATTTATCAAACGTAGTAAACCTCAACACCAAATGATTGATGTTGTTGCAACAGTAGCGAGTGTTCACAATGTGTTTCTCTTGCTCCCAAATGACCAAAAAAAACCAGGTGTCTTAAGTTCCAATGATTCTGATTTTCTCAGGTGTAGTGCAGTTACAATGAACAGTGCTGGTCTTAGATGCATGAACTGGGCTGGACCCTCTTGTAGGTTAGTATAAAAATTCAATTTGCTTGTGACATAGCAGGTGTCCAATGCATCAACAGGATTTCAAATTTATTCAGACAGACAACACCCAGTTTGTGTGTAAAGACATGTGGACGCATTGGTTCTGTTTGAATATGATTTAAACTCAGCAAACTGGATTTGGTACTCTCCTGCTGCCTTCATATGGCTGCAGGAACAAGAAGACAAAAAAGTCAGTAAAATGAATACAGTTACTTGCATCAGTAGTCATCATTCCACAACGGCTGGACATTCACTCCAAGCATTGAGTGTGCTTGTCCACAGAATACGTCATACTTAGAACTAAAGACTGTTGCTGTGGTGACATATCAGACCCAGTTACTACCAAACTACCAACAATTGAAGAGTTCATTTGCAAAAACAGGTAACTCCATTTCTGTAGATTTTCAGAAACCTTTCTTTTTTGGGGGTTTTCTTGAGATAATATCAATCAAACTTAAGTTAAGTGGATTTGACTCAGTGGAAATGACAAAAATAGAGATAACTTAAGTTAGATTGATATTGTCTCAGGTAGACGATGGAAAAGTGGGTTTTCTGAAGGTTTGTGAAGATGGAGTTATCTGTTTTTGCAAATGAATTCTTCAGTTTACTTTGCCCAAGCTTGCTGGTTTAGATTAACTCATGTTTGTGCCTCTTCTTCCCCACTGACACCATGTGCGCTAGTCTGGGCACAAAAAAATTGGAAAATCCAGAATTCATCAAAATATGAAGTCATCATATCACAGCTTGTGTTAGTCTTTTCTACACCTGCCATTAAAGCTGTGTTCAAATGTTGAAATAGGTTGCACAAATATGACGGCTGCACTGCCGAGATGATAGATTACATAATGAGCAAATTGTTAAAAGGGACATACCATGTTTTTTTGTGATTTAATAATAATAACAATGATAATACATTTTATTTATAAAGCGCTTTTCCGAATGCTCAAAGATGCTGCACAGTGAATAACTACAACAAGAAATAAAAACAACATGCAAAAGAGAAAACAAGAGCAGAAAGCAAAAAGCATTGAGTGCATTTAAAAACAATCATACATTAAAAGCATTTTTGTAGAGGTCAGTTTTGGTGAGTGATTTGAAAGTGGACAGGTTTGGGTAGTTACGGATGGTTGGAGGTGAGGAGTTCCAGAGGGTTTGGTGCTTGGTGTCAGGTGGTATGAAGAGGAGGTGGGCATTTACTGCCATTTATATACTGCTGTAATACTTGAGGTGTGTGATGTTCATGAATGTTCCAAAACCTGAGATGAATTTACGTATTAAAACAAACAAACAAAAAAAGACTCTCTGTAAGTCAAAAGTCTGTGCTTCAGTCTTATCTAAATGTAATACACGTCCACCTTTAAAAGTTTTAGGACAGAAAGAATAAAAGTGAAATCTAACTACTAGTTTAGTTCCATACACTCCAGAGCTGACCCTTCGGCAGACTTCCAGAAAGTGTCCCGCAGAATAGAATGAGGTCATTATCAGAGAAACCTCTTTAAGACAGAGGCTGAACCAAGTGACTACATAAATGGTCAATATATGAAAAATAAGAAATTTCTGAGTTGCACATGATACAAAGATAGGTCTATAGAGCATATGTACAGACTGAAAATATGGACCTGGAAATGCTTGTGATCGATCATATCTTTGATTCAGTGTGGCCAGTTTCTGAACCTTTCAAAGAATGTCTTTGTAAATGTAAAATTTCTTAAGAAATCTGTAAGTCAGTAACTTCTGTGAATGATGGACCATGGTTGTGAAGAGACTGCTGCAGGAACCATGACACTCCTAGTTTATGGACTCACTGTACAAATGCTCTTCTGCACTTTTAATAGAGTATATATTGTATTGCTTTTTTATTATTTATATCACTTTTTAGTTTTTTTTCTACTTTCTTAGAAGTTTGACCATATTAGCTGCTACAAAGATGATGCCAAACGAAATTGTATTGTATTTTTGTACAATGACAATAAAACTTCTTCTTCTTCTTCTTCTTCTTTCCTGCAGATACATCCACTATGTCTTTGACCTTGGAAATGGACCCAACCTCATCAAGGGGAAAAGTGAAAGGGCACTAAATGACAACCAGTGGCACAATGTGGCCATCACCCGAGACAACAGCAATACCCACACGCTAAAAGTAGACGCCACAGCCACTAGTCAGAGTATCAATGGGGCCAAGAACCTGGACCTGAAAGGTATGTTCTGATACGACATGTGTCACATGGTTGTATCCCCTTTGTGTGTTCAGTTTTCATTCAGATACGTTGGTTCATTGTTGGAGTGGTTAGCGCTGTCGCCTCACAGCTAGGAGGTCCTTGGTTCGAATCTGGGCCGGGGGTCCTTCTGTGTGGAGTTTGCATGGTCTTCCTGTGCTTGCATTGGTTCTCACCAGGTTCTCCGGCTTCCTGCCACAGTCTAAAGACATGCAAGGGTGAATTGGTCTTTCTAAATTGTCCCTAGGTGTGAATGTGAGTGTGCTTGATTGTCTGTCTCTGTAATAGACTGGCGACCTGTCCAGATTGTCCCCTGAACTTCGCCCTGAGTCAGCTGGGATAGACTCCAGCCCCCCCATCACCCTGCAGAGGATAAATCGGTGTATAGAAAATGGATGGATGGATGAATGGTTCATTGTTGAACTGCTAAACAAGTGTTTCAGACATAGTACTATATTTTTTTTGTGACAATTTCCCTCTTGTTGCTAAAGTTAGAGTGTGCTTAAGGTAGGCCAGTCAGACTGACACTATTCATTCAAGCATCAGAAACATTTTAATACACATATTGTACTCCTGACTTTGGCTTTTGTTAATGTCCCAGCTTTTTCTTCTTTGATCTTATCACATTTCAAGACACTTCAGATGTAAAAGCACATAGAAAGTGTTCTCTTCTCCTGCCTTTCCCCATATAGGTTTTAATAAGAAGAGATTTCTCTGTGCTATCTATATTTTTTCTATACCCCAGGTGATCTGTTCATCGCAGGACTTGGCCCAGGCATGTATGGCAACCTGCCTAAACTGGTGGCTTCCAGAGAAGGCTTCCAGGGCTGCTTGGCATCGGTGGACCTCAATGGTCGCCTGCCGGATCTCCTCAATGACGCCTTGTTTCGTAGCGGGCAGATTGAGCGTGGATGTGAAGGTACACCGTCCCTCAGATCTCAGCCTGATTTAGACTCCTACAACACAAACTTCAACTCCAACTTCAGCTCCAGCAGCCCTTTCTTCCTGCTCAATGCAAACGGTAGCGCCTCAGCTCTGCATCCTTATGGAAGTCGCTCCATCTTACTAACTGTACTGGTTACCTCACTTGCCCACTGCTAGAGTCCGACCAAACATCCAGCACTTCCTCACCTGCACCACATGTTATCGGCCACATTGGTCGTCCACTGACTGTGCCGTCACAATCAATGATAGGGAAGTTTAAGCCAGTGCATAAAATCGCCCCAGGTGCTCTATTTTTTATCTATTGTGCTTTTGTAAAGTTATTTTTTCAGAATGATGTGACTGTCTAAGGTCTCAAACATTATCATAAATAAGTAAAGTAGACACTACAGAGCTTCTTTGAGCCCAGTGCAGGTATATTGGTACAAAGACACATCGAGAGAGATTCACACTCAGAGCAAAATTTTGTCAAAAAAGTTAGTATTTAAAATCTATTACATGTGCAATTGACCCTTTACTAAGCCCCGCCCCTTTAATTATTGAGGCTATGTCAAGCTTTCCATTCTAGCCCTTTGTCTATGCAGTATATAATTATTATATTGACAGATGTACAGGACGTTAGGAGTCATTTTAACAATGGGTCCTTGATGGATTCTGCCGCTGGTGGAATTTATTGTCTCCAACTAACTGATTCCAATCCAAATTGGCTAAAACTCTCTTGCAGAGATGTGAATTTGGTGGCTGTATGTATGGTGTCATATTACTTTCTTGCTGTGGAATTATGCCAAGGATGTGTCAGTGGGACTTTCCTGTCGTAACCATAAAACCCCCAAGTAGATAATAAGATACTAACGCAGTTTTGACACAACCTGGAGCAACTGCAGTCCTCCACGTGTCTACACAGGATATGAATGAGGAAACTATTTAATGTAGGTAATGCTTGGAGCCTAACACAGTGAATGCAGTTACATATAAAACAGAACAAAACAGACTCAAAGTGTAAAAAAATGCTCTTTAGGTCACATTTAAAAAAAAAATTTAAAAAAAAGTATACCATTAAAAAAAGCACAACTGTACAGTTTTACAGTCTCAGTTTCAGGTTGGGGTTTTTAACAAACGGCCAATTGCAGGCCTACTAAAATACTGCGTCTATGAATTTAGATGCACAGTTTTACCGTCACATCATAGCAGCATTGGAAATCTGTATCAGGCCATACCTGGACTACTCCTGTCCATACAGTTTGTTCACAAAGCAAAACTTGCCAAAGGTTTTAATCTGTTCTGTGTTCATTTCCAGTTGTTCATAGCTGTTATGTAGCTACATCAAAATGGGCTGTTGAAACATTTTGCACAAGCAAGCAAATGTCACTGTGGACAAAATGTTTCCATCTTTCTGTGCAAGTTGTGCATTTTTGTGGCTGTTTTTGTCATCCTCTTAAGGTTCTGGACCATCTTCCACAACCTGTTCTTGTTTGCATGGAAATCATTTTCTGTACAGCAGTTTTTTCTTATGCTTGCCATAACATTCAGTTGGACATTATGTATGTTTTTTAACATTACCTTACAGAGCCCCATGTTTGACCGACGAATGTGTTAGTGGACATTTCATTTCAATCCAAACAGAAAACAACAGTCTGTACTGTACTGTGTCCTCCTTGCTGTGACTATTTGAATGGGGTTGATAACAATGTTCTTCATTGTACTGTATGCACTGCAAGAAAGTAATGGTTGATTTACTTTATTTTTCCAAATAAAATCTCATCAATCACAGTTTGTTGGTCTTGTCCATGGCATTCTAATGTCTCATTTTTTGTGTGCTTGTATAATTTTGTATGGTTTTCTTCCTTCCTTTCTTTTTTGCAACGCATCATGATCAGCTGATTAATCATGTAAACTGTTTCTCCATGTACTGCCTGTATTACATTACAAGCTTTCATCACATGAAATGGATTTGTGTTTCTTCAGCCAGTGAGCCTTTATCAAAGCCCATTTGTGATTAGTGAGTTGGCAGTTCAGGTTGCAGCAGTACTTTGTACCGTCACTAGATGGCGATACTGCACTGCTGGCAAACACTTCAAAGCAGTATCATGAACAAGCTTTTCATTTTTACATCTTACATTGAATCCTGAACCAGATCAGTGGATCAGTTGCCAGAAATAAAGGGAGTTGGAGCTGCAGGATATTCTTGCAGTTTAAAGCATTCTAAGTTTCAAAACTCCATCCCCTCTTTCAACTCATCATCAGTTCACTTGGTCCTGAACATCCACTTTAACAGAGCAGCTTGCACCATTTCACCAGGTAAGTTTCCATACATTACTTGATTTGAATCAAATGAGTTAATGTAGGCTGATGGCTTATTGTGAAACCTGGATGTATTGAAAAAAATGACTTTTTGTTAACCACAAATCAAAATTGGTTAACAATGATTAAATGTGAAACTGAAATATGTAACAGGAATAAGAACAATAATAACAACAACAATAATAATAAATTATTATTATCCTGACAATACCAATATTATTAGAATTATTATTGTTGTTGTTACAAAAACAAGGCATCAAAATAAAATAGACAAGTCATAAAATCATTAATTGCAATAAACAGCAACATAATTTTGATGTATGAAACCAATACAGTGTTGGAAACGCTTACGTTTAGGTTCAAAGGAAACTTAAATTCAAGCACTCTCTTAAAAGTAATTTAGGAAACCTATTGCACGATTTAAAATTAATAATTTAAAAATCTAATTTCTATATTTAGATAAATGGCACAATCTAATATTTTTCATCAATAGTTCATTTAAATTTCTGTATTAGTTGATCTAAACAAATTGAAGTTGAGGTAACTTAATTCAATTGGCTGGATTTTTCTTCACCTTGAGTTCAGGATTTGGAGTCGCCTAACGTGTGTTAACACTCCCGCACAATTTCAGACAGTGTAGTCATAACTTAAAAAGATAGTTGATGTAAAGTTTTTGTTGAGCCCTAATGTTATTCTCTTGGTTCTGGATAAAAGCCTGACAGATGAGTTCTGCTGGGTCTGGAGTAGATTAGCAGATTTACATTGCAAACATAGTTGTATTAATACAGGCATGATGAGATGAAAACATGCAAAATGGTCTTTAAAAGTTAAGATAGATCATGCTTTTGAAATAGATGATAAAAACATGACATGTACAAATATCAATACCATGCGTTAGAAATGTGGTGGACTGAATGGATACTCCACACAAAAAGCCATTTGTTAGCATCTAAGACTTAAAGTTAAACAATTAGTTGAACGTTGTCTTTTGAATTTTGAAAGTGAACAACTAACTGAATCAAGTTTAATATATTTCAGACTGAATCAGCTGTTTAGTCATGTTAATCATTACTGCAGACATACATGCTTTCCGTTTACATTTTTCTTTTTTTTCAATTTAAAGAATAATTTCCATATTTGACATAAAGAACTTACAGCTGCTGAAACTATTTGGTTTTAGAGTTCGTACAAAGACAATGCACAGGGCTACTCCTTGTCACTTTATTTAATGATATATGAGCCTTTATCAGGGTTGGTATTGTTTCTGTTAGAATATAAAAATCAACAATGATTAAATTAAACATGCACTAGAGACAGACAGAAGGTTTTATTCCTAAATGGATCTTCAGCCCACTGAAAGGTTGCTTTTACCAGTTCATAGTTTTGCTCATCACAGAACAGCAGCAAAGATTCCAAAACGCCTGATGAAAGTATTAATACATCAGCATAAACCTTCATATTCACTCCTGTAGCACAACGTAATCCTCTGCTGCCCACACTTTCTTTTCAGTATGTTCTGAACTGTCACATTTTATGCCTAATAAATGGTTAAATATACCACCTCTGTCCTGATCCCCCTCATATAACCCCAATAAGCTCTCATATATACAACAACAATGTCAATTCAATATGTCTCTGTCAAGTTCATTAAAGTTGGTGAAGAACCAGTTACATATAGAAAAGTAAACATGTTTTTGTTGGAGGATGGAAGAAATAAACTGTATGTTTTCACACATACACATGTAGATTTAAACACATTTTGACCATCCATACATTCATGGTAGAACAGGAGCAAGGAGCAAGTTGTCTTTTTCTGTAATTTTACAGAATTTTTCTGCATTGAAAAAACAACAACAAAAAACTAAAATATAAATAAAATTACATAAACAGATGTTGAATTTACGTCTAATGTGAAATAATGTTACAGTCCTTTAACTGTGTATAACCATAAACATTCATTCATTTTTCAGACCGTTAGTTATAGTTCTAAACCGAAGCACTGTCCCTTTACAGAAGGTTCGGGTCTGAGTTTACTCATGTTCTTATTATTGTTGAGCCAGTGTGTATTAAACCCTATTTTGTGTTTGTCTGTGTGTGTGTGTGTGTTGTTGGGTGTTGCTTTGGGAATTGTTGGATTTCCACAGGCCCCAGCACCACCTGTCAGGAGGACTCCTGTGCCAACATGGGCATTTGTATCCAGCAGTGGGAGAACTACACCTGCGACTGCTCCATGACCTCCTACACCGGCACACAGTGCAATGACCGTGAGTCCTGGTGTCACCTTCAAATATCTAGTGTCATGCACATTTGACACAGCGCGGATGAAATAACCTCACCATAAATAACGGATTATGTACACTTCCTTGGTGCGATCAGTGAGGGGTTGGAATGATCAGGGGCGGCTGTGGCTCAGGTGGTTGAGCGGGTTGTCTCTGCATGTTGAAGTGTCCTTGGGCAAGACACTGAACGCCAGATTTCTCGTGATGGCAGGCAGGCACCTCGCATGGCAGCTCAGTCGCTATTCGTGGGTGAATGGTTGAATGGGAAACACTGTAAAGGTAGAAAAGTGCCATGCAAGTGCAGATCGTTTACGATTTAGACCATAAGGAAAGTGTGTTAAACATGGTTGCAACTGTAGCATCATACTTTTCAGTCACTGAACGTTGTAGCTGAACACACACAGTTTTGTGCCCATTTGAAATTCATGGCATCTGCTCTTACCTGGCAGGACATTTGTAGATGTTGGGGCACTACAGGCAATTTAACCTGTTAAGCCCTGAGCTTTTTTTTTAGGCCTCTACATAATAAAATATAATAAAAACAGTTTATCTCTGCAACCACAAGGTCTATTTGAATAATTCTTGTGTCATAATGAAAGGAACAGTTGTAAGACGTGCTCTGATGTGTAAATATCAGTATATATGTTACTGGTTAAGAGTAAATGTAGATGGCACATGGCAAAAATGAAAAATTTTCAGGTTTGCTTAAAAAAAACTAAAAGCACTTTCAGGATAATTATCTCTTTGGAATGATCCAGCTGCAGCTCTAAACCTCTCCTAAATCAGAGCACAATATGTGAACATTCTCTCTGCGAATATTGACTCTGATAAAGTGAAGCAGAACAAAATTACAAAGTTTTTAATACAGACAGTTCAGGCGAGGGGACATTTTGGCACACTTTGTGACCATCTGAATGTTCTTATGTACAAACTATTTATTTCACTTGTATATCACTAATGGTGTTCAATACATCCACATACAGCAGTTTTTTTTTTTTTTTTGAAAATTCAACCAGACCGCTATATGTTTTAGGCGTCCCGTGCTAATGCTGATCAAACTGCTGTGAAGCGCCTGTGTTAAGCAAGGTTGTATCTCCGTCATGGATTGGTCGAATTCAGTGATTGACACCGCCTTCGAATCGTTACAGCCAGTAGAATGTAGCGATAGCCACCAAAATGAGATTGACAGCACTTTTAGCCAATCAGAATCTGCAGAACACCATCTTGAAGACAAGCCGCTTGCTGACAGAGTGCACACTCCTTGGCTCCCTGAGGCTAACGAAGCCGCCGAAAGACTCCCGGAATGATTTCAGTGTGACACAGGAAGTAGTACTAACTGAAGCTGGTGTGGATTTTCCGATAAAATAAACTTTTCATGGCAAAACAGCTAAGGTAAGAGACATTTTACAGTCACAGGTTGATGAAGCGATTTCGGTTTTTGCTGTTCTTTGGGTTGTTTCTCGCCGATGCTTTGGTTTTAGAGAGCGTTGATGGACGTGGTTGGAATCTGTGGACTGTCCGCTTTCGTTTGACGGGTTGTTGGTGCGTTTTGCAGAAAGTATCAAAGCAACAGAGCCAGAAATGTGGTGAGTGGGCTGACTTGGTGGCGCTATATCGATGTCCATATTTGATAATTAATTTAGTTGGTGTTTGAGTTGTGTTTGAAGCATGTAGAAATGGCTTATATATTCTTGTAGCCCAGGTTCTGCTGTTTGATGTGCAACACCACTATATTCTTTCATGATGACTGTGTTGTTTCAAACTATTTCTTTGGGGGCCTCTCGGGTTTAAGGGGTTAACAGTGAATATTGCTAACTCTGATGGCACCTTATCATCTTGGATATGCAACCATCTATCCACAGCTTTGCTCCAGTGACACATTACGTGGACTACAGTTCTTTAAATGGTTCGTCAGTGGTGCTGGATGTTGCATATGTCTGAATGAGAGTTTCATCAGTGGTTAGTATGCTTCAAAACAAAATTCAGGGCCTTTGAGACCAATGTACCTCATATTTCTACGGTAAAACAATGACAATAAGTTTGAATTTCCATCCAAGGAATTGAACTTTTAAATTATGAAGCTCCAGGATCTAGACTTGGCCACAATTATTCGTACTGCTGCACTTCAAAAAGCTCAAGTAATAGTCATCCAGTGCTCTATATTCCAAATTTAATAGATCAGACATGTTATATTTGTATAGGTGTAACATATATTTTAAATGATACAAGAAATGAAACATCATGAAATGTTAGTACAATTTGTAGCACACCTGTCTGAGACAATCATTCAAGCCCTTCTGTAGCTCTTCAGACTTCCTTCATTCCTCTCAAGTTTGAGGGGTTTTTGCTCCCAAATGTGAGTTTCAGTTCTTTTCTTAGATGTTCACTCGGAATAGGGTGAGGAGTCTACAGATGTCATGATCTGCTGGAAGAGACATACTCTCTTCCATGGCCAGGATATTTCCTACCAGAAGGCCTTGATAACCTACTGATTTCATTTTGCCTTGCACAGATACAAGGCACCATGTGCCTTGGCGGCAAATCAGTGCCATAACATAACTGGCTGCTCCATGCATCACAGCGGGTATGCTCTTGCTTTTCCTTTTTTAACATAGACCTTATGTGGCTTACAACA